GGCTACGAATGTCACATCCACAAATGTTAAGTATTCAGCGAATTCTTGCAGAAGCATCAATTTCAAACGGGCAATCAAAAAAGCATCAATAGGGGCCATGTCAAAGAAATAATCGGAAGGTAGTTGCAACAACGAAATAGATTCGATTTTGATATGAGTAATTAAGGAATGCTAAGGAGATACGGAATAATTCTTACGCAAAAATTACAATTTTGATCATCAAACATAGTGGTGAGTGGGAATAACAAAACAATATTTTAATGATGACAGTGATAATGGTTAAAGTCTTAAATTAGTAATCAACGAACAAGCTGCTGAATATTTTGAAATTAGACTGAACTGAACGTTTCAATTCTAGCATTTCATATACAGGTCAGAAAAAGCGATTAGCTGTGCTCATGAAAGCCACCCATCTGAGAATGGTAAAGAAAAAGATATCCAGTTAGCTTAAAGACCGAAATGAAAAAAAAAGACTATTCTGTTCCCAAAAAATCAAAATATACTGTTGACAGATTCAAACGACTACGTTTTTAACGTTTCGCTCATACGATGCCTATAAATTGGTAACATGCGATAAACAAAGAATGTACGAAAACTCAATTTGAGAATGCGTTATTGCTACAGTAAAAAGCTTCAACGATAACCATTGATTAATAGGATATATATCAAAAAGAGAACAAAATCTTGAACTGCACTATACGAAGATGAGAAATGGTAACAAGCAATAAGATTCGAGTTCACAGTCCAAATTACTTGTCGAGGACAGATTATACTATATGACTGGAAGAAACCGCCTTTATTCAAGGCGATTTTCACTTGTTCTCACTGCGAGTGCCTCATCAAGAATGGATGGAAAGCATCGAAGATCAGCTAAAATGAACCTGATGATAACTGGCGCTCAGTTGTTGTTGCTCGGATTCCGGCACGATATCCACATCTTCATCGCTGTTAGCCGATGCGCTCAAAGACAGTTTACGAGATCTACCTTCAAATTCATTCTCGAAATTGTATTCGACAGCAATAAAAAAAGGTCAATGAGAGAGGATCACTAATTTTTTGAAGTTGATTAAGATTTGTTACGATACATAACAAATGTATTCGATTCATGAAGCACATACTAGTCATTAATAGAACCATAAAATAGTAATGTTATATACCCCCTTTCGTCGGTCTTTTTAATTTGTCTTCCACAACACTGTGCAACTGATTCTGTGCATCACCACTCAACGGTCCAGCCGCATACCTTAAATTATTATTCGATTACATTCACGGAACTTCCTATAACTGAAGAGAATTTCTTGAAGAAATATTGTTGCGAAAGCGAATACAAATAAACCTAACAACAACTGAAATATTGCAAACGTTATCTTTTGAACTGCCGTAATTCATTTTGTCACCTTATAATTTATATTTCTAATGAATTCTTTAAAAGAAGATTTTTCAAGAATTTGCAAAAAGAAATGATGCCATAAGATATGACCACCAAAAGTGAATATTTTGTGGGGAATGTTGGTAATTTCATCAAAGCTTGTTTTGTTATGAGCAATCCGAAGAAGTGAAATAAAATAAAACGAAGAAGATGAATACCTTCCACCATCTAAACTAGCTTCAACATACGCTCGGA